CCTTGTACAAAGGGATTTAAACGCTGCTCCAATGCACCGGCAGCAGCACTACTGCTTGCCATCTTCCACCATACTCTATGTAGTTGGTGGTTGTTGATCAGAAAGCACACTGGCATGGTGAACCATCAGGATCTACAATCTGATACCATCTGAGGAGACGCTAATGAGAGAGAAAACAGGGTACATGGTCATGGCCGTGGCCACCAGCGTCTGACCTAACCGCCCCTGTGCCACTGGCAGAAGCCTGACTCTGACTTGGATTGTGTTCTAAACTAGAGCGGTGGTTTGTTACCTGGGATGAGAAGAGAAGATTTTATGGTCTGGAATCCTCTCACTGGAGCGTCCAAGATTCTCCCAACATGGGTCTTAGACTACGTTCTTAGAACACTACAATGGTCGTCTGGAAAGCGCTATTGGGTCTGTGTAGTCAAGACAACCTAAATTTACAGGTGCCCAATCTTACCTGGGAAAGTTTGCTTGATAGAAAACAATTTATACTATAGGCTAATCTGTATGATTGATGGTTGTCATCGTATGGCTGATAGTATAATTGTATGGTGAATCTTTTTTTGTTACAATGTTATTTGATCATAAAGGTTATGCTCAATAAACTATAATTCTTATTGATTTTTTGGAAAAAGTCCTATAAGATTAAATGTCACGGATGGGAAATTACAATTGATTGATTTATTTAATCCTAATTTATAAACCGGGTTAAGTTTAATTGGAATATTACTTTGAATCCTAAAGATGACGGCGCGACCACGCAGCCAAGCACCAGCAGCTCCAATCTTTCGCTCAGAAAATCGCGCCATCCACAAGCTCGTCCAGGAGATCCCACACAATGTCGCTTACAATATCTCTTGCTTTTCCTTCCTTTCATCCGAAGCAAAGATCAGCAATCTGCGAGTTGATGCTCTCAATGTTGGAGTCGAGAAACTTTGCTCGTCTTATCAAAATATCCAGAGTTTCGAGCGGAGGCCAATTTCGCAAGCTTTGTTTCCTCCTCACGCGTTCTACAAATCCAAAACCGACATCAGAGAAGAACACGATGAAGAATTCGATGGTCCATCTCCTGCTGCTGAGCAAAGTCTAGAAGCCCAAGGTGACGGAAGTTTATTGTCTCTTGTGCTGATTCTGGGGTTTGGTGAAGATCTCGAGCATGAGCGCTTGATGGCACGATTTTCGGAATTAGAAGCCGACGAAGCGGCAGCAGCTGCTAAAGAGTTTGAGGACGAGTATGAGCACGATCAAGATGGTTTCTTCCGAGCTGAAAGGACCCCCATGTAAGTTTTTGAGCTTCGATTGTTTTGTTCAAAAAGTCTCTGATAAAACTTCTCTTTTCTTTTTCCAGTTTGAGATGTGGAAGCGAAAGACTTGGAACACGACGTCTCGACTGCTCCAGACCGTCCCGAGAAGCGAAATCACGACAAGAAAAGCCTCAAAGCGAGTCACTTGATCTTCCGGAGACCGATATTATCTATACAAGACAAGGGAAAGAGGCTATGGATCCAAAGAGCCGACGAAGCTCGCAGCAGGAACTATCAAAGGTAAATTCGTAGAGCTCAAGAAAATATCTCAGAAACCTGTTTTTCGTTTCCAGGTTTTTGTCTCTGTGGTCGATCGAGCACCAGGGGACGCTGTTCTTGAGCTGCGACCAATCCAGGTACCCGAAAGCACCTCCATGCCAATGTCTAGATTCAAGCAAAGACATGGTGGGTGAAAAATCGCTGGAAAGTGAGAGATTTACGAGATTTTATTTGTTTTGGATGAGAAAATTCCCAAGGTGAGAAGTTTTTAATTCAGAAAAGATGTGAGATTACTTGAAAGATGTGAATGTTGAGCTTACAGGAGTGTCTTGCGAGCCTCAAGTCGTGTCGAACACTCTCAAGCGTGAGAGAGCAGCACAAGCAAGTAAAATCCAAGCTTGACCTCGAGAACGATCGCAATCTCTACAGCCGGATTTCCAACACGCTGATCGAGATGTATGGAAAGTGTGGCAGTGCCGACGACGCTCGCAAGGTTTTTGCGTCGATGCCCGAGAGCTCCAGATCTCCCTTCACGCTCTTCTCCATGCTGGTAGCGTTTGCTCGCAATGGACACCTCCGGGAGGCCAAGGAGCTCTTTGACGAGATGCCCGAGAAGGAGCTAAGCGCCTGGAGCGCGCTCATGTCGGCGTATGCCCGATCGGGGCATATGGACGAGGCGAAAACTCTCTTCGATCGAATGCCCGAGAGGGACGTGATCTCCTGGACTGCGATGCTCAATGCCTACTCGGAGAACTCGCTAGTCGAGGAAGCGAAGAAGATCTTCGATGAGATGCCCGTGAGAGACGTCGTGTCGTGGACTGGCCTGCTCGTCGCGTATGCTCAAACAGGCTATCTGATCGAAGCGAGGAGAGTGTTTGAATCCATGCCCGAGTGGGACACTGTATCCGCGAATGCGATGATCACTGCGTATGGATCGATCCAAAACGTTAGCGAGGCAAGGAAGATCTTTGAGAGCTTGCCAGCGAAGGATCTTGTGTCGTGGAACGCCGCGATCGCTGCGTATGCCCAAAACGGGTATATGATCGAGGCCAAGGCGCTGTTTGATTCCATGCCCGAGCGTAATGCCATCTCCGTGACCACGATGCTGTCGGCCTACGCGCAGGACCACAAGCTCAACCTCGCCAAGAGCCTGTTCGATTCGATGGAGGAGCGAAGCACAGCGTCATGGAATGCGATGCTCGCGGCCTATGCTCAAAATGGTCATCTCGAGGAGGCCAAGATCATCTTTGACACGGTACCTGAGCGATGCGTGGTGTCCTGGAACGCGATGGTCTCGGGGTTTGCGCAGAACGATCGCCTGGAAGAAGCCCGGGAGCTCTTCGATCGAATGCCGGCCAGAAATATCTCGTCGTGGAACGCGATGCTAGCGGCATACGCCCAGCACAGGGACGTGATCCACGCCAAGCTCCTGTTCTTCGCAGAGATCCCCGACCGCGGCCCCGCGGCATGGATGTGCCTGATCCTCGTCCACACCTACACTGGCCAGATCGATCGCGCGGGCAAGATCCTGGCGACAATGCCGGTTCCCAGCGCCGTGGCTTGCAATGCCGTCCTGGTGGCCTACTCCCAGATCGGCCGCTTCGATCGCGCCGCAGAGATCTTCGTGTTGATGCACCTGGAAGATTGCGGCGCTGATGAGACGAGCTTCACATGCCTTCTCCTGGGATGTAGCCACAGCGGCGACATTTCGAGGGCGCGATCCATCTTCCAGTCCCTGGCCCTGGATTTCGCCAAGATGGCGCGGAAGCAGCACTACTGCGGGATGATCGATGTGCTGAGCCGTGCCGGGCACCTGCGTGACGCGCAAGAGCTCCTGGAGTCTATGCCTTACAAGCCCGATGCCGCCGATTGGAGGTCTCTGCTCAAGAACCACAAGAGAAGAGGACGATGTAGCAGCAGTAGTGATTCACGCAAAGATGTGGATGAATCCAGCAGCGCTGTGAGAGGAGTCCTCGCGCCAAGGGACGCGCAGGGGTATATTCTCCTTGCCAACATGTTTGCTCATTAGGAGAATATTCTATAAAATTTTAGCCACAGTGTCCACCACCAGCCAGTCGCTACCATCTCCAGTGGCTTGCAGCTGAATCGAGGTGCGTAGCCATGCGCCGCCCACTGCGTGTGCACCTCGACACCATATCTCTGGACAAACCTGACGATGCGCTTGGAAGCAGGACGTAGCAACGAGAAGAGCAGCATCTTCTCCCTTCGCTGGCTGAGCCTGAAACCCAGGGTGCCAGTACTGAGTAACCGATGCACCCTGGGCATGCTCGTCTCTGATCAATTCCGGCCAGCTGATGCTCGGATCACTCGACGAGCGTTTGCCTGCCGTAGAAGGCCACCAGAGAAGAAACAGCCGGCCCGATAGACGCAAGAGCCTTGGAGAGCCGCTCCAAGTGTTGGCGGTCTTGTAAGAACTTGTGAATATGCAGATAGGGAGTGAAAGGCTCGTGCGCAGGCTTGTCGAAGAAGGCGGCCCCTCCGACCCGGATGTTTGGTCCGACCACCTCTAAGATGAGCACGGCGCAGCAGGATAGGAAAAAAGTTCAATGATAGGCCCGTCGCCTGGCAATGAAGTGGTCGGCGAAGTACCTCATCACTTCCACAGAAGGTTCCCCAAGGCCAAGCTCCGGCTTGATCTCAACAAGCATGACGAGAATCCATTCGCTCATGATCAGAGCTTCGACCTTGATATCAGGTTCCGCATCAAACCCACGACTGGAGACTCGGTGACCCTCAAAGTAACGTTAGGAATCGTGCTCCTCAAGTACTTGAGCAGCATCTCTGCGAAAGCAGCTTGGCGTTGCCACTTGTCATCGAAGAACTTCTGTGGGCGAAACTCCAGTCGACCGCGTCTGGCACACAGTGCTTGAGGTAGCACCGGAACAGCTCGTTTGCCAAAGGCAGGGGCACTGCGCTAGATCTCAGTGTGCTTCATGGACCAGGGGTCATCCTGTTCCTTCGCAAAGAGATTGAGTGTCCATTTGGGATATGCCTTACCGTGTAGACATGAGCAGCGCCCTGAGCCATAGTCAACGCCCCTGGAGCCTGACATAGTCCTTGTATTCACATCGACGTTGGACGTGAAAATCAAACCCTAAATGCTAAACATATTTTTAGTTTTAAACATATTTAAATAAAAATGTGTATATTAATTAACCCAAAACCCTAGAGTAAATGGTTGGAATTGAAATGAATTTAATATCTATCAAAATTCCATTATGTTAATATTAATAAATGGCATCGTAATTATATATTTAAACTTTATAAAAGGTTTTTAAACATGATTATGTCATTAGTTCTTGAGGACGTCCATTGACTTTGATAATGTTTAAAGGCACGTTTCATTTTTAAAAGCTTCTAGTCATATTTAAATTTTTTAAAATGTTTTAACCTCTTTCTTTTAAGCATGATTAAAAAATTTAAAACCCTGGTGTTTTTAGGGCTCTTGGAGATCCAGATCTATAGGCGCTCACAGGAATCCAAATGCGATCGCTGCTCCACGCCAAGGATGAAGAGCTCGTCGGATCGGCCGACAGGTACCGCCATTCTTCTTGCTCCGATTCCCCTCCTCCTCCTCCTCCTCCTCCTCCTGTGCTCTTCGATCGGGAGGGGCAGCAGCCAGGGCTGCTCCAAGGACAGCCCTCTCGTCGGATTCTCGGCCGATCTCGGCATGATCCAGCACCAGCTGCGGGGCCGCGTGACCATCCTCGACGACTGTAGCTTCCGCGTCACGGGATTCGACATGATCCAGGGCTCGCCCCACGTCTGCTGGTGGGGATCTCTGGGCGAGGATTTTCGCAACCTCACGCAGGGATTCCCAGTCTCGGCCGCGCCGCTCAACCACACTCTCCTCAGCGACGACATGGAATTTCAGCTCCTGGAGAATGTGACTTGGGAAAAAATCCAAGTCCTCGCGGTCTGGGACGAGATCACAGCCTCGGACTTTGGTCACGTAGTTCTTGACTCGAGCTGGAAGAATTCGAGCTCTTCTTCTTCTTCGCAAAGAAAGGTTCCAGCCACAGTCTTGGAGAACTGCGTGGAGCTTAGCCCGCTATACAGGCTAAGGTGGAGCTTGCTTCCAGGGAATTCTAGCTCGCTTCCAGGGAATGGTTCTTCGGTGGATATAGCGCTCGAGGCAGTGGTGCCGGAGACGAAGTATATGGCGTTTGGATGGGCGATGCCAGGGAAAGAGAACTACTTGATGATGAACGCGGACGTGGTGGTGGCGGGATTTAAGAACAGGGACACACCCTTCGCGGAGGACTACTACATCAGCAAGTATAGCGAATGCAACTGGGACTTTCAGAATCCATCCGGTGTGTGTCCCGACGTTGTTTACGACAGTAGCAGCGACAACAGCACCACTGTGCTTGTCCACGGCCAGCACGTAGACGGAGTAGCGTTCGTCCGCTACAACAGGCCGCTGTATAGCTCCGACACCAAGCTCGACGTCTCGATCGATCCCAGCGCCAACATGACTGTGATATGGGCGCTCGGTCCGCTCAAGCCACCGGACAGCTTGCAGCCGTTTTACTGGCCGCAGAACCACGGTGGTCCGGGGAGAGTCTCGTTTGGACACGTAAACTTGGTTCTCTCCGACGCTGTGAATCAGTGCTCGGGCCCCCTGGTGGCGACGGAAGCCGAGCCGACGATCGACGTGATTGTAGCGGACAGAGGCTCTCCGCTCGTGGTTACGTCGGAGGAAGCGGCACACTATCCGAATCCACCCAGCCCGACCAAAGTTCTCCACATCAACAAGAAGGAGGCTCCCATTGTCCAAGTTGAGAGGGGCGTTCCAGTGATTTTTTCCATACAAGCGGGTCACGACGTCGCGTTCTACATCACCTCGGACCCCGTTGGGGGGGCGACAAATCCAAACGAGACCATTTTTGCGGGTGGCCCGGATGCTCACGGAGTGTTGTCGCATCCGTTGGCTTTGAGCTGGCTTCCAAACAGGACGACGCCGGACGAAGTATACTACCAGGCTTTCTTCGAGAAGAAGATGGGATGGAAAATCCAGGTGGTGGATGGCGGCCTCTCGGACATGTACAATAGCAGCGTCGTTTTGGCCGAGCAACAGGTGACGGTTTTTTGGACGACGAGTGGCACGAACATATCGTTCGCGGTGAGAGGCGAGCGAAAGAGCGGCTATCTCGCGATATCCTTTGGCAGAGGGATGGTGAACTCGTTCGCCTACGTAGGCTGGGTAGGGGCGGACGGGACTGGATACGTGAAAAGCTACTGGATCGACGGCAGGGACGCGTCAAACATTCATCAAACAAGCGAGGAGCTGTGGGACAGGAGGTGCTCGTCCGAGAAGGGTGCAGTGACTTTCGAGTTCACCAGGAGCTTGCAACCGCGGTGCTCGTCGGACAACGACAAGGCCTGCAAGAAGAACGTCGTGGATCCATCGGTGCCGCTGAGGATCGTCTGGGCGATGGGATCAAAGTGGGACGCAAACTTCCCGTCGGACAGAAACATGCACGACAGAACGAGCAGGAAGGCAACGGTGATCTACCTGGAGAAAGGCGCGGCCGAGGCGGACGAAGAAGTGAAGCCCGTTCTCGTCGTCCACGGGTTTATGATGTTCCTGGCCTGGGCGGTCTTGTTCCCGGGAGGCGTGGTAGCGGCAAGGTATCTCAAACACTTGGAGAACAACGTTTGGTTCCAGGCACACACTTATCTCCAGTACTCGGGCGTCACCGTGATGCTGCTAGCCTTCCTGTTCGCGGCTGCCGAGCTCCGGGGCCTCCACACAGAGACGGTGCACGTAAAGCTGGGACTGTTCAGCATTCTCCTGGCTTGCTTCCAGCCGGTGAATGCGTTCTTCCGCCCCGCAAAGTCTCCGCCGGGCCAGCAGCAGCACAAGCTGAGGATGATTTGGGAGTACTTGCACGTCTACTCGGGGAGGGGCGTGCTGGTTTTTGGGCTCGTCACTTTGGCCTCGGGGATGTCTCTACTGGCGGATATCTATGGGAGCGAGCACGTCCGGGGCTTTGAGTGGGCCTTGCTCGGCTGGGTGTTCATGGTCTCTGGGATCATTGGCTACTTGGAGCTGAGACAGTTTTGGAACAAGGGAAAAGCTCGAGAGGCTCCTCCGGCGTGGGACGCGGATGGGCGATCGGTTCACGTCCTGGACGACAGTGATGAGGAGCGCGAAGATGACTCTGCGGGCTTGCTGGTGAATGGAAACTCGCGGCACGAGTTCCCAGCGGCATCGAGAGGGATGGAAGTCCAGCTAGAAGCATTCCATTGATGTGCTGAGTATATATATAACTTAGGATAGTCTGGAATTCTCACAAAAAATCTTTGTTAGTCTGTAGTCTGAAAATCAATTTTATGTGTTAAACAAAATTCAACTTAGTCAAAAGTATTCCAAAGAATTTAGTTCTTTGTTTGTTTTATAATATGCTGGAACAGCGATCATCGTCATGAAACAAGACCATGAAGTCTCTGTGTCCATCTGTTTTGAACATTCCAACGGAAACTCGATTGCATTGTTGAGATCTTTTCTCTGCAAATCTTTTCTCCACAAATCCCTTTATAAACATATTCATGAAAGGCAATATCTTCATATCATCTTCAAGATCCAGGAGGAACTTCCCAAAGCTCTATCGAGCATGGCAATTGGGATGGTGGCGTGCTTGATGAGGTCCACGGTCCCTTGGGATGGAACTGATATATCCTCGCAAATGCTAGATTGGAAAATTGGATGATATCGCTTGGGAAGATTTTCTTCATCACCCTCCTCTTGTTCCTTTCCCAACAACTGCCTCTAGTTCACGAACCCTTGGATATATCTCCTCCTCAGCAGAGCCATGAAACTGTGGCAGCTCTGGCACTGCGAGGTCCTGCTATTCTCTCGCAACAATTTTGAAGGTTCATAGCGTAAGGTGAGTGTTTTCGTTTTTTCTCCTTTCTCGCTCTTTTCTTTTTGTTTGATGTTAGTTGTTAGTCACAGGGAGAGTGCTATGGCCTCACAGCTAACACTATGGCAAGGTGAGAAACACAACCAGGGTAGATGAGAGTTTCCTCCCAAGGCGTCTTCCTTTCTCCAGAGCCTAGCTCTTTCTTTCTCAAGCACTGTAATGAGGTGTTGTCTGTCTTGGAGCCCAGAGTTATGGCTCCATGGCCGGGCCATAGCGTTAAAGGCCGCAAAGTGCCAACTGCATGTTTTCTCTATTGATCAGCTTTTGTTTAATTTTTGCTTTTTCTTCTCAAGCAGAGTGAGTTGCTTGGATCATGTGAAGAGAGTGAGCACTTGGATCGTGTGAAAGAGAGTAATCTGTGAGTGGTACTTGAATCATGTCAAATGTCAAAATTTAAATATAAATTTAAAAATATTTATTTATAAAGTCTGTAAATATATTTATAAGGTCAAATACATGTATTACCATGCCTAGATAATACACTAACTACGTCCATTTCATGAAAATTCTTTGATTTGGTGTTGTCACAAAGTTGGAAAATTAAAGTTAATTTACTAGTGAGGATCGACGTCATCGTCGTTGTAGAACGCCTCGGCGCTGGCCTGAACGTGAGCAGCTCGGTCGCTCGAGGTGGTGATGCAGTTGAGCTTGACGCGCTTGTCCCACGGCGGCCGGACGTTCTCCATCCCTGGGACGAGCTCCTGGATTGTCATCGGTCCCGGAGGCAGCGCGGGGAGGTTGTGGACGTAGCCTCGCTGCCTGGACGCAGCGCAAAACCATTTGGAGTTGACGAGCTCGAGAAAATGTCCTCCCAGCTCCCGCGAGGCATGAACGCTATGTTCTCGAAGTAGAAGAACGGTGGAGGGAGACTGGAAGATGGCAGCGTTCTTGATCTCGTTGGCTGCCCCATCGCCTTGGTTTCGCTGCTCCGGCAGGAAGCCATCGAAGTTGTCCTCCAAGTCGTGGAAGTTGGCGAAGAAGGTATCGTCTTCTCGTTTCCTTTTCCCGTCCGTGGTGTCAACTCTCCGGCTGCTGGCCTTGATTCTTCGTCCCACTCTCGGTAGATCCTTGCAAGGTCTGGTTTTTCTTCAAGCCGTGGTCCTTGGCAAAGATATGCTCGACGACGTCCTCGAGCTTTGCATCGTTTCCTACAGAAATCAATGAATACAAAAGTAGCAAGCATGATCATCGGTTACCGAACAATCCGAGCGCATTATCTATCTGCTCGTCTGAAAAACCCATGGATTTGAGTCTACCATGTAGATGTTGGCAGGCCTTGCGCTGTCAACGATATCCTTTGCCAGGGGCCGCCATCGTCAGAGGAGAAGCACTGCTGCGCAAGCTGCGAGTAACTTTGACAGATTTTCCAGCTTTGTGGCAATACTTTGATCACTAGATCTTTTCTTTGGTTTGATCTTCGAGATTTTGATTGATGTGATCACAGAGATGCATAGAAAAGTTGTGTTTTCGCGAAGAATCCAGGCCGACTCTTTGACAAAGCTTTCTTTTTTTCATCATGTGATCTTTGCAAAATCGTTTTATGACCACAGCGAATTTGACAAGAACTTTGTGACGATTTTCGCACTGAATCTTTTCTTTCGTTTGATCTTCGAGAAATTGACTGATTTCATCACAGAGACGCATGGAAAAGTCGTGGTTTTCGTGGTCTCTTTGACAAAATTTTCCTTGTGATAACAGCGTGTTTGACACGAAAATTTCCAACTTCGTGACGATTTTCGTTTTTGGACCACTGAATCTTTTCTTTGGTTTGATCTTCAAGAATTTTGATTAATGTGATCACAGGAGACGCATGGACAAGTCGTGGTTTATTCGAATCCAAGCAGCTCTTGACAAGATTTTCCTTTTCTCATCCTGTGATCCAGAGAGCCAACCTCGTCTGGCGCAGCCCGGGGGATCCTGGCGCCGCTCAAAGTCCAGGAGCTGGAAGTAGTGCAAGGCTTCGACGTCGGGCACACGAGCTCCGGCCAGTCCCCGGCTGAGCGGATCAAAGCTCTCGGGAACGCCATGCAAGTCCATATGGTGGCATTGCATCTCTCGGTGCTGGCGGACCTCTTCCCAACTGGTATCCGGGTCCTCTCGCTCTTCTCGGGGATCGGCGGCATCGAGGTGCCGTTGAAGCTCGGTATTCCAATCAAGTTCCTCGGGAGCGTCGAAACCAACGCGGTGGTGGCATAGAACCAGGCAGCGAGGAACACATATCGTCTTGGGCGACGTGGCTGAGCTGTCTCGAGAGAGGATCGAGGAGCTCGCTGCTCGAGCCGAGGGTGGCTTCGATTTGGTGGCCGGTGGAAGCCCGTGCAACAACTTCTCGGGTAACAACAGGACTTGGATCACTGGCGATAAGTCGCGGCTCTTCTTCGACTACGTGAGGATTCTCACAACAGTGAGAAGCATCATGGCCAAGTCGGCGTCGTGATCGAATCCACCAGGCAAGTTCTTTTACCCCGAGAACTCTTTCCAAATCGCGAACTTACCTCTGCTCGAAGCAGATCTGGATGCTGCGAAAAAATGTAATCAGCTATGGCTGAGTCTTGAGCATTGGCACCTATGAAAAAGAAATATAGAGGAAGAGAATGTAAGTCATAAGCTTCGCTTGCAAAGCACAAGCAAAGAAAGACAAACGTAAGAGAAAAGCTTGCCCCTGAAAATATCTTCGAGATCAACTTGTCCATCGAAAAGGAAGGAAAAAACACTCTGGAGCCTACCTGCATTGCGAGGATCTTTGAATCGAATACCCGAAATCTCCATGGCGCGATCGATGAGCGATGATGAGAACCTCATCGCCCACAGCTCGTTTCTGCTGGATCGAGGGATCGCGCTGCGCAGTGTCGTCAGCCTGAAAAAGAGATTGAAAAGAGGGCAAGAATACAAGGGAGAATCCAATACCTTGTAACCGTCCTCAACATCGAAAGAGAAGGATAGCGAGTCATCGTACTCGTCCTCGGATTCGGGGGAGGAGCCACACTCTACAAGCATGGCTGGAGCGACGAAAACAAAACCTCCCGGGCTCCCAGTAAGAGGTGTCGCGGAAGATTCAACCGCAGACAAGTGTGCAAATGTTAATAATTTTGATTCACGCTTGCATTACAAAAAATATTCCACGTGCTTCAATTAAATTGTATTATTCGGCCGTATCTTTAAAATTTGATATCTCTTTTCTCTCTCCTATGTGGCACCTAATTTTACACTTCTTTCAGAGAGGTTGAAAAGAAGCAGAGACACACAAGAGAGATATATATATATATATATATATAATTTGCTTAACTTCTCAAAGTTTATTTTATCAATTGGTTTTGCAACCAGAATTTATCCAACCATCAAGCTCTAGTAAATAGATAGTAATTCTACCCAATCATTCATTTATTCATTCATTCATTCATGTTTACATGGTCTTGTAGTGCCCCCTTCTGCATTAGTCCAGTTGGAGAACTACAAAATCACCTCTACAATGATCTTATGAATCCTCTCTAATCTAAACTAGATCCAAACATAAAAAGGAAAGAAATACTTAACCATGTGCTATTGCAAAGATGTTGATGTTGAGATTGATGCACATCTCACAACCTTGATCCCCAGAAGGCAGTGAGTAAGATAGGCATGGAAGAGAAGAGTAGATGTTGAGCAAGTGGAGTGTATGTTATTATGGCCAAGGATATAAAAGACAGAAAGGGGATAAGTCTAGTGTGCTATCACCAGCCTATATAACCACTACATGCCCAGTCATCCAAGTCAAGAATTTAGACCGGAAGAAATTTTGATCTCAATTCCTAACTCAGAAAATGCCTTTGTGCGAAAATCACGATGCAAAATGCATGTACCTCTCTACTCTCCGACGACTAGAGTTGAGCAGCTCTTGCAGCTCAAGCTTCCATTGTAGTGGTGGTAGCAGTTGTGGTGTTAGCCTCTGGTTCTTCCTCATAGTCCTTGAGCTTGTCGCGAGTGTAGTTCTTTATGGCAGTCTCGAGCATCTGTAGTTGGGCCTTGAGCTCCATGTTCTCTTTGGTGAGGCAGGCATTCTCGAGTTGGTACTGCTGCGCTAACTCGAAAGATTCTCAGCAGGTGTTTGGTGTTGGGAGTCCATGAGCCTGTATAGTGCAAAGGATTCCCTTTACCTGATCGAGTTCCTGAGCCATGCTTGCATTTTCTCCTCGTGTGGACGTGCAAAAACATTGCGGAAGAAGCTCTCCATGTCGTCCTGCATGTACACCGCCATGTTGGAGTTATGGTACTGCTCCAGGAAGTTTGTAGGCATGGGACGGATCACTTTCGGTTGCTGCTGGTCCTGATGATGATGCTCATGCTGCTCCGAATTGTAGTGGTGGTGCTTGTTGTTAATGTGCTCATGATGAAATTGGCGTTGCATTGTTGAACAAGGCGGCTGCATGTTGTCAGCAGTGGTGTCTGGAGCAAATG